GACAAGGAGTTGCTGAAACAAGTACTCGCTCCCAGTGGGAGAAATGACGTGGCTTAGGAGCGACTAAAAGAGGCATTTCAAGGTGAGATGGGAACTTGAAGATCCATGGGGAAGCCAGAGGAGGAGCTTAAAAGCAAAAGTAGGTCAGCACTAAGCAGGAAAACTTTTTTTTTTTTTCCTGAGACACTTCAGACTGATTGCAGGAGAGAATGGTAGAGAGCAGGGAGGAGAGAATCAGGAGGAGATGGCTGTGTAAGCTGAAGATGAAAAATAGTCAAAGTAAGTGTGAAGGACTCTTCAATAGCAAGAAGGCATTGAAATGGGCCACCCAAATCGGCTCAGCCCCAGGGGAGTTCAGGTGACAGGCTAAGGCTAACAGATCCCTTTCCAATCCCTTTCCATAAGGTGTGAAGTCGAGCTCTCAGGATAGCAAGTCAACAAATCAAAGGGCTTTGAAATTTATTTGTATTTGTTGGAATTTGCTATATATGCCTGTACCTTTGAATACCATCAAAGATGACTTCTAAGTCTATGGCTTGTACATTTTCTATTTGTAAAAAAAAAAAACAAACCTGGACTTACTCTGGTGATCAATTTTTACAAATATTGAATCATTATGTTGTATACCTGAAACTAATATGTATACTGTTATGTGAATTATAATGTTATGTGAATTATGTATCAAAAATTTTTAAAAAACTAAAAAAATAAATAGAATCATAAAATAAGGCAAAAAAAAAAAACAACATTACAAAGATGATAATGGGAATAAAGATCTTGTGAGGCTGGTATTTTCAGCTTTCCATCTGCCTGTCTAGGAAATACGTTCAAGAGCAGATACGGTCTTAGGTCCAACATGGGAGGGTCAGGATGAAATAAGATGTTCCTTAACGTAGGGTTTGATATTTCTCAATTTTCAAGGACGAGAAAGCCGAGATTCCTAGAAGTTTCAAGACTTGTCTAGAGCTCTGTGGCTAGTCACATTGGATCATGTTAGCAGTCTGTTTCTCTCTTACTGTGCTCCTTCATTTAAAATATTCTTCAGTATCACTAAACAATCTTAGTCAATATTTCTCCTACCAACTTATATCGTCTTCCCTTGGTTTTTGTTACTAGGAGTTGTTGACAATGAGGATACTTTTTTCCATTTAAAGATATTTTAGCTCTTTGAACTAATAATTACTTACACTCCACTCTCACTATTTTTCAGCTTTGTGGAAATTCGCTTTGAGCCTTTTAACACCTTGGCCTTACTCTTCTTTAACTTCTCAAATTTCAGTCATTTGCTATAAGCCCTATTGATTTTTTTTAATAGACTTTAATTTTTAGAGCAGCTTCAGGTTCAAATTGAAACTGAACAGAAGGCAAGCTTCCCCATATATCCCCTGTCCTCACTCATGCTTAGCCTACCCTGTTCTCAACATCCCCTATCAGAGTCAGACATTTGTTGGAACTGATGAACCTCAGCTGCCACATCATTATCTGCCAGAGTCTATAGCTTACATCGGGATTCACTCATGGTGTTGTATATTCCAGAGGTGTAGACGAATTTATAACGACATATATCTGCCATTATGGTATCGTACACAGAAGTTCCACCGCCCCAAGCATCCTCTGTACTCTGCCCCCTTTTTCCTATATTCCCTCTGATCTCTGACAGCCACTGCCTCCATAGTTTTGCCTTTTCTAGAATGTCGTATAGTTGGAATCATACAGCTTGTAGCCTTTTCAAATTGGCTTATTTTACTTAGTAAAAGGCAATTAAGTTTCCTCCACGTCTTTGCATGGCCTAATAGTTCATGTCTTTCTCTTTTTTTAAAGATTTATTTATTTACTTATTTGAAAAAGAGGGGGAAGGGGCAGAGGGAGAGGAAGAGAGAATCTCGAGCAGACTCCCCGCTGAGCGTGGAGCCCAATGTGGGGCTTGATCCCACAACCCTGAGATAATGACCTGAGCCGAAACCGAGTCAGACGCTTAATTGACTGAGCCACCCAGGCGCCCCTCATTTCTTTTTAGAGCTGAATGATATTCTTTTTAGTGCTGAATAGTAATAAATAATGACAATTTAGTGCTGAATAAAAAAGGTACCACAGGTTTGCCCATTCACCTACTGAAGGACCTCTTGGTTGCTTCCACGTTTTAGCAATTCTGAATGAAACTGCTGTGAACAACCATGTGCAGGTTTTTGTGTGGACATAAGTTTTCAATTCCTTTGGATAATTTTATTTTTGTGAGAAGCCACCAAACTGTCTTCCAAACTGTCTGTACCATTCTTCATTCCCAATGGCCATGAATGACAGACAGTTTTGTTGCTTGACATCTCCCATACCTTTTGGCGGTGTCAGTGTTCGGGATGTGGCCTTGTTGATTGTACTTCTCTTGTGTCTGTAATTGATGAATCTTTCTCTTTATGGTCGCTGTCACCACTAACGTTCAAAATCATTTCTGCCCCTCAGGACTACTGCAGGACTCTCTTAACAATTTACCTGTCTCTACCAGGTCTGCCTCCCCAGCCCAACTTGGACAGTGCCTCCGGATTCATTGACTAAATATCAGCTTTAGTATTTTAACTTTTCCATTAGAAAGTCATCAGAAGCTTTTGTCTAATAAATAAAACTGAGCCTGGCATTGAAAATGCTCCAACATTTATCTCTAGCCCAGCCTTCAAACATAATTTCCTTTTACTATTTCCCTCTATAATCCTGTCTTTCAAGGCAAACTACGTTTTTTATTTTTTTTTACCTCTTTTCTGTGTTAGCCTCATTATTTTCTTGCATCTACCTCCTTGAGGATTTTTCCTCTGCCTTTCATCACTATTTTTTGTTATAACAACATGATACATCTAATCAATCTCTATGCTACTGTCTTGCTCTCCAGCATGCCTCTTAGACCTGCTTCTTTCTTCCTCTGCCATGACTTTGGGCTCCAGTTTTGATCCACTGTTCTACTAAAGGACCCTCCTTTGCTGTCATGGTGATTTCTCTCTTGTGGGAATCTTAAGCTACCACTTTCCAGCTTGGAAGCTTTTCCTGCTCTCCATTTGCCAGAGCAAGTTCTTTGGCTTGGTTTTTAGGTCAAATCATGGCATTTTTACGTCTCACCTCTTGCTCTACCATTTTCTTTCATTATTCACTTTTTGTTCTATGTCAACATATTAAGTTGCACATCTCTTTGCTTTTCTACTCTCTCCTAAAAATTTTCCCTGCTTTGGGTGCCTGGGTGGCTCAGATGGTTAAGTGTCTGCCTTCAGCTCAGGTCATGATCCCAGAGTCCTGGGATCGAGTCCCGCATCGGGCTCCCTGCTCCTTGGGAGCCTGCTTCTCCCTCTGCCTCTCTCTCTCTCTCTCTCTGTCTCTCATGAATAAATAAATAAAATCTTTAAAAAAAAAATTTTCCCTGCTTTGTCCACCTGACAGACTCTTAGTTTATGCTTTACCTTGTTCTTTAGACACGACCTCCTGAAGCTTATCCCTGAACACCCCAAGCAGAGTGAAGCTGTCCCTTTTCTAAGTGTTTCAGTGTTACTTCTAGCTATTTCTGTGGTTGCTGGTGTCTTGTTCTATTATAATTGCCGTTTTACGGTCTGACTTTTATCTTAATTGTGTGCAAGGGCCACACCTGATTCATGTTTGGATCTCTAGCATCGAAAAGAATGGGGTGCAGTAAATATTTGTGTATTTATAATTTGGCTGACTTGAAATCGCATCTCAGCATACTCAGGCCCGACCCATACTCCAAGCTTCATGCCAGTGGAGTGGTCTTTCCCACGATGGTATTTCCTGGTGTCACTCTTCACCCTCCTTCAAGTGTCTGCAACACTGTTAGTCCCTCTCTTTTCACATACACACATCTTGCATTTTGATGTTTGAGAATTATTTTTTCTTTCTTCTGAAATTGTCAGCTCTTTTAGGAGAAAATTCAGTTTCCCATCTTTTATCTCTTCTAAACTTTAATACATGTTCTTTGCAAATATTAGAAGCAAAATAAATACAGTTTCAAGAAACAAATTAGTGTATAATTCCTTTAATGCCCATTGCATGGAAAATCAAAGAAATTGATAACTTTAAGGGAACTTTGGAATAATTTACTCTAACGTCTTCATCTAACATCTAAAGGAGTCAAATTTAAAGAAGTTCTGCTACTGTCTTCAAGATCTCAGTGATTAAGATGGAAAAAAATTTGGACAAGAACCAAAATCTCCTGATTCCTAGGCAATGCTTTTACATATTTGCGATTGTACTACTCTACCTCTTTAAGTGTATAAGGTATCATGTGAGTCTTTTTTATTGCTTTACATGATACTATGTCCAATTCATTACTTAATTTTTCAATGATAATTATGTAAATTATACAAAGATGTTTGCTAGATAAGTTTTTTAATGAATTTTTCATTTGGATAATTATTTAAAAAACAAATATACTAACACTCTCAAAATACAGGAAGAAGATATAGAACTATTACAAAATAAGATCTTTACATAAACAAAATCATTATTATTTCTAGGAAATGACTTTAAGAAGAAAACCACTCTTAGAACTCACTTAGAAACAGACTGCATATTTAATAGCAAATTATTTCATTTAAATATCAATACAATTATGTGATTGTCATCAATTGAATATAAAACATAAATAATATCTACTTTGGTTAAGTAGTCTTATTTATATAAGCAAACAAGTTTATTAATACCGTTCTCTGACTCATTCTGCATATATATTTTCTTCATGTATTTTATACATGTACTCAGGCAAAGTATATCAATATGTATAGCATCAATTTATCATGGTTGCCATTTTATACAGATAATTTAATTCCCCCACTCAAAAATTGACAAACATTTTATGTCTTTTTTCTTTTAACATTTTATGTCTTAAAAGTTATTACTGAGGTATAAGTTAAGAACATGCCATTGTTTTGGACATTACATTACAAACATTACATTCTCAGGTAGGATGGAGGATGGTTTCTAACTGCCTTTTAATATTTTCTTTTTGAAAGGTCAGTAAGATTTGTGGCCGTCTAATCAGAACACCTACACAAAGCCCCCGTTGTTCTTTTGATGGAAGCAAAGAGAAGCATGGGATGAAGATCTCTCCCAGAAACGATGAAGAGACACTTGCCAACAGAAGAAAGTAAGACATTTGTTTTACAACCAGAAAGAGAAGAGAAAGTAAGCCATTAATTTTCAACAGAATAGAATGTATTCAGTTAAGTAGAACGGAATACACTATTGAAGAAAAAAAGATCACCATTAATTACTTTTAAAAAATTCAGCGGTTGCTCCTGTTCAATTAATTAGGAATATAAGTGCAACTTGTGAGACCAATAAAACTTTCTGTGATAAGGGACACTTGCTATAATACAACATGGCAGGCAATAGGCACATGTAGTCACTGTGCACTTAAAATATGGCTAGTGTACAATGTTGTACAGCAGATCTCTAGGACTTACTCATCTTGCTTCACTGAAACTTTATGCCCATTAATTAATACCTCCCCATTTCCTTCTCCCTGTGACCAACAACACTGTATTGTACCCTTCAAATTTTAAGAGGGTAAATCTTACCACAATAAAATAAAAAAATTAGTTTGAAATATGGCTAATGTGACTGAGGATTGAATTTTTAATTTTAATTAATTTTAGTCTTAATTCTATATATACCTACTGTATTGGACGGTTAACACAGAGTATTCACATAAATGATGAAATCAGTATTACTATATGCTAAGCATCTGTTAGAAAATGGTTGGATAAGAAGAAGTTTCTATACGTTTTATCTGGAATGCTGAAAATGGCTATCTATTGATTCAAAATGATAAGCATTGAGTAGCTTGCTTCTATAACTCACATTTCTACCTCTATTCCCGTCATTGTTTCACATGTTAAATTAAAGCATTCATTAATAATCTCTTCGCTTGATAATTGACAGTCAAACTGAAAAACTCTTAAAAATGAAGGAAACTATTATTTTATTTGCTTTTGCATTCTATTGACCAGTGTATGTTCGGGCAAATACTAGATTCTCAGTGGGTGTTTTTGAATTGAATTGAAATTCAGAATTCTATATTCATTTATTAATTCAAGTAGTTATTTCTAATAATACCTTATGGCAAACTCAGTATGTTACATAGCTTTACTCTCTCTAATGTAGAATCTGTCTTTCCTTTTGGGACAGTGGTCCTAATTGCCTCATTCTCTTCTCAGATGGACTATAATTTGGAATAAAGATCTGGGCTATTGCTGGCTATTTGCCGCAGCTCAAAAGAATTAGCACTTTGTTTGCATGCAAAGTAGCTGTTCTTTTTTCCTCCAAACATCTATAGTGATCAGCAGTCTTTTCTTGTATTTGAGAAATTAATGTGCTAGGCTAGCGTATAGCATATAGTGGCTAGGTATAGTGTAGAGTGGTTCTTATAATAAAATCTAGCTAAGGAAGATCTTAAGTTCTTAAAGGTCATGTCTGTTTCACCACCAGAGCAATTCAGTTGTTGGAAAGACAAAACAAAACCCAATACAAGTGAAATGTCTCAGGAATAATGAGAGGCTCATATGAATATCTAGTTTTATAAGTATCTGTCCAGCCACTGAATAAACGTCCTTGTCACCAATCTTGCAAACTCATGTATTTCTCTGTCCCTAACCAGCCAGCCACCATTTAGCCATTGCCCAAGAACAAGAGTAGGTCCATCATAGACCAATGTCACACCACACAGAGTGAACAACCAGAGGTATTACACATGAGCCCGCTTATGCAATTTATTTCTACACATTTTTTATTGCCACTCCTAAATGGAACTTAATTGCTAGGGCAGTATACTTTGGCTTAATACTTATATGTTGTACAGACCTATACATAAACATCTCCTGAATTTTATTTATCTTTCCATGTCCATAAACTAGGCCTGAATTTTATTTATCCTTCATCCCTGATAATTCCCCATGAGGTCATACATTTCAAATGAAATAGCTGGGGAAATGTAGCAGAGTAGGTGCTGAGTGACTATGAGCTACTTTCTGTGCATCTTAACTTGTGCTTTTTCTACCCACTTGAGCCTGATTTTCAATAGATCATTTCCACTTGATGATATATTGTTTCTATATAGGCCTGATCTCATAGCGTGGTGGATCAGATAGCAGTCAGATCATGGGTATCTCAGGTTGCAGTGTCGCTTGCTAGCTCATGGTCAAGTGTGTAGTTTCTATCAGATCCCAGTTGCAAACCAACCGACCAACGAACTAACCAACCAACCAAACAAAAACAGTGTTTAGCAAAAGCGGGAATGCTTTTAGTCCAAAATCCTTGATGTCTATACTGTTATTCTTCTAACGGGACTTTCCAGAATCTCTGTAGAGCATCTTCATTTGCCACTGGTACTTCAGGCGCCATTGAGTGGATGAGCTGGGTCATCTGGACTGAATATCAGAACAGTTTGCAAGACGCCAACCTACAGACTTCTTTCTCATGCAAAAGCTCCTTGGGGCTACTTTATAAAAGGGTTGTAGCAACACACTCAAGTATGTATCATGTTTTCTCTAATGTGCAAAGGGACCCAAATAGTATTGTGCCTCTTCCTGAGTGCTAGGTCATCTTAAGGCAGAAATTTGGCCTTTTACATTAGAATATCCCAATACGATCCAGACTACTGGACATTTAGAAACCCTGCTGAATTCTCAAGGCTTGAAATATCAATATTTTTCCCCACCAGACTCATGCACATGTCTACTAAGGCAACTAGGATGATGTGATCAATATTTTATTATCAGCATGGTGTCCTATAGGATGTCCAAATGATCAAGGCTCCTGTCTGTCATGGAATGGGTGAATTGCCCTGAGGTCTAACGGTGAAGACATTCTGACCAGTTGAGAGTGAAATATTCCTAATTATCCTTACTAATTGGTAAAGAGATAAAAACATTGCCAAATGGTTAGCTAGACAAGCAGGTGGCAGTACATGTTTTGATTTGCTCAAGCAGATAGCACATACATAGGAGGATATAATTGGAGTCACCCTCTGACTCAGGTTATGATAATCCAAACATTCTCCAAGCCCACCTCCGTGTGCACAGACCAGCCAAGCAAATGGGATGAATATTGAATAGACAGATTGAGACAAAGATATGTTTATAATACTATGTCGGGTTACTTTTCTGAACTCCATTCTAATGGTTGGTCTGTTGATAGGATCGGATTTTCTATGTGTACAATCATGTGGTTTACTGGTAGAACCATTCTAGCAAGAAGCTTGCTGTACCTTGTAAAATTCTTATAGTCTGTGCACTTACCTGCTTTCTTCGGATGTATCCCAAGAAACTCTTGCTCATATTCACAAGGAAAATTCTTGAGTATCTGTGGTGGCTGAGAGTCAGAGGCAAGTTATGTGTCCATAATAAGAAAAATGGAAAAATAAAATATATTACTTTGGAACATTAAGAGTCAGAAGGAAAAAATATATTTTCGTGCATCAAAAAATATCATGATTAAAGAGAAAAAAGTATTAAGCAGAATGAGAATAGTGCAATACCATTTTTATAAATTAAAAACAAATATATAAAAATCAATAGGTATTTTTCAAGGAAAGGATTTGGGAAATTACTTAAATATATAAGAATCAGTATTTGTAAAAAAAATTCTATCTTAAGTAATAAGTTATGATAGTATGCCAGGGGTTGAGGAGTATGCTTAGCTCTCTGTATCTCAGAAAATATGTGTGTGTTTGTCTGTGTATACATATAAATTAACATACATATATACACTGTTATTTTAAACTTTAGATGAAAAGCTTTTTTTTAAAATCCTATTTTCCTAATAAAAACATAGTTAAAACTCCTTTAGTCAAAATTTTCATGAGAGCTAATGATACTCAATTTTTAAATAACCTTTTTTTGCCATTTCATATGCATAATTTTTCATTATGATGTGTAGTAGATATAGTGATTATCCAGATAGAGATAAAATGTAATTTGCTGAAGAGTTTTTGACTTGGGACTTCCTCATTAATTAGAAAAAAATGAAAGTTTATTGTAAAATAAAAAATAGATAAGGAAAAAATGAATTTCCAGTCAAGCCATCCAAATCAATGACAAAATCATTGACCACTATTTTGTGCAACTCATAAAGTAAAGTTAAAAAAATCAACAGCTTCTGAGTTAGTTTTTATATTGTATTGTATCCATGGTAGGTTTTCTTGAGTTTTCTTTATTTACCTTGGGCAATTCCCATGAGAATATCTATAACAGAAAGTATTATCTATAAATTTAAACCAATTTAAAACTATTAAAATAAAGCTATGGAACAACAACAAAAAAACCCCACACCAATTTCTGTAAATATAATTGCTCTAGTAGGTGAACAATAGAAATTGTAAAATGCATCAGTTGTTTCACCGATGTAAATGGAGATAAACACAGTTCTATGTTTAACAATTTAAAATACATTTTTATATATAAATAACTCATAGTCTTTTAAAATTATATTGGCGTAGTTTACTTTGTAGGGCGCCTGGGTGGCGCAGTCGATTAAGCCTCTGATTCTTGAGTTGGGCTCAGGTCATGATCTCAGGGTTGTGAGATCGAGCCCTGGGTTGGGCTCTGTGCTCAGTGGGGAGTCTACTTGGAATTTTTTCTCCCTCTCCCTCTGCCCCTCCCACTCATGCTCTGTCTCTCTCGCCTTCTAAAAATAAATAAATAAATCTTTAGGCTTAGTTTCTTTAGTGGTATACCTTATAAAAAATAGTTACTTAAAGTTTGTTTATTTACTTATTTATTTTAGTAATCTCTACACCCAATGTGGGGCTCAAACTCACAACACCAAGATCAAGATTCGCATGCCTTTCTGACTGAGCCAGCCAGGTGCCCCAAAATTTATTGTTTAAATATACAAACTTGTTGTTTAAAATTATGTTAGATTTATGGTACCCTGACCTAAAAAAAAATTTTCTGTTTTTTGTAACAGTTTGATTTATATAGTTTTCCATTATTCAAGCAATTCTTTTGAGGTTGCATTAATATAACTATTGTTGACTTATAAATAATTTGACCAGTTAGCTTTTTTTTAAGCTACCCAACACTATTTATTAAGTGATAATTAATTACCTTTTCATTCTTCAATTGGGTTGTTTAGTCCATTTTTTTA